CGGGGTCTCCGTCGGCGAAGGTGGGCGCGTCAAGGCGATGTCGATGTGGAGATCAATCCCGTCACCGGCTGTCGAGCGACGTGCAGAGACGAACCACGTCACGACGGTGCCGACGCAAGGTTCCATCCGACCTTCCATCCAGAGGAGTCCGCAAACCCTGTGCACACGGCACAGCGCACAGGGCCCCCTCACCTGGTTTAGCCCGCCGGTCGAGACGGTTGCCCGGGGTGTGGCCGCTGAGCAGAGCCCAGCTACGTGGAGCCACAGGTGAGAGTTGAGTGCCAGCAAGTGGACGCTAGGTGCAGTCTCACTTGCAAGCAAGTGAGCGACCACCACGACCATTACGTGAACCCACCGCTGACACCCCTACACCCCCTGTAAAAGATGACTACTTATGTAACATACATTTTTCTAATCGATTTTTGATGCCCTTACAAATTCAATTATATTTCATGGAAATCATATATTAAAATATTAATTCCTTTGCTAATTCGGCAAAGAATAGCGTCTCCTTCCAATTACATACTCAAAGGAGCAATATAATTCCGTTTTCAAAAACTTTTCCAAGTCCCATGTAATTTTGTACCTGACCTGCCGTTACACTTGCATTCAGGGTTTCTAAACTACAGGCCGCATATTTTCCGCGTACGAAAAACCATACAGTTCTCTACGGTATTGAGAGTAGATCGTATAAGGTTCGTAAAATGAGGCAGCGGATTTGAGCCATATAATTAACTTTATAAGCCACATTGGTAAATGCAGAGACATGACGTTTTATGAACGGCCATTTCACGGTATTAAAATCTCACAATCAGAAACATTTCTAAAACCGAATTGTACCTTTCCTTTCGAACATACAATTGGAAGAAGACGTCATTTTCTACCGAATGAGCAAAAGAATGAATATTTTTATGCGTGTTTCCCATGAAATGTAATTGCATATTTAAGGGCATCGAAAATCAATGAGAAGAATGCATGCTACTTAAGTGGTCATTTATTACGGAGTATAGTTTTTGACTGCAGCCGGAAAGGAGTTCGTTGGAAAGCTGGCATCCCGAGGTAACTGACTTATTACAGAATTATGCTGTGTGATGATTACTTTCACAACGCTACTTAATTAATCTTTCCGAAACGAAAACTCATCGGAATTTCGGTTGGCATTTCATGAGTTAGCTCACCTACTGTATTTACAGTAAGTGACCCAACTCATGTAAAAGGCCCAAATCAACGAAAAATCTTTAATCAATCGGAAGCCCGTCCAATTACACTCATTAAAACACAAAATTAAGGATGAGTCACGCTCAGGTAATTAATTCACAAAAGGAGTATTGAGAAATACTATATTATTAGTCAGACATAAACATCATCTCAAGAAAAGCAGAACTGCCAAAGTCGCAAAAATTCGCATCAAACGAGTAAACTCAATTTTTAAAGTATGCAAATTCTGTTCGTGGAAATAGCCGAGTAAACAAATATACCTAAACGCAGACACGTTTAAAAGGCTGATCTTTACACATAATTCCAATATATATCCTCCGAGAATCAGCGTAATCTGAGATATGGTAAAAGCCACCCTTTAAAATTGCCCCAGAACTGGCTAAGATATTATCCGTCATGTGCCAGAAATCGTTAAACACTGGAATTTTTCCATGAACTGGAAAATACCCCACCTTACATTGATTCACGAAAGTGGTAGTCGTGTATTTGCGATCAACCACAGATCCTTCGGTTTGGCATTAATCTTCTGAAAAGTGAAAGCAACATTAATGAGTTATTGGGAAACCCATAATATATTTTCAAATGCAGAATAAGACCTTCGTGAGGGAAGATCGTGTATGGCGAACATTCTTTACAAGTTGGGAAACTGGCCAAGAGTGCTCAATGGAAAGCACTCTGTGCAGGCGGCAGCTATCATTGAGATGTCTAGTTGTAACGGTCGAGGATGTGAGGGATGACACACCAAGGTAGTGAAACACGGGGATTAGATCCTCACTAAGACCTATCGAAATAGAGTCCTTTTCTCATCACAATACTCATCCGCACGAAAGGAAATAAGAGACGTTAGGTAGGCATAAAGATTCAATAAGAAGAGATAGATGCTCGTAATACATAATATGGTGGTTAATTGTACAAACGGTAGGAATTACAGCAAGAGAGTTATCTGTCTGGACGGTGTGGCGACACCGACATGCTGGTTGAACGAAGCGGTTTGGGCAACTGCAGGGGAGGGCCGAGGGAGGTGCCGACGTAGACAGGGTGGGAGGGAGAGAGAGACAGAGGAAGACGTGAGCGCCACTGGGACTTGCGGGGTGGCGGGATAGGCGGCAGAGAGAGGGAAGGAAACCGGCCATTTTCACTGACGTGCCGTTACATCATCACCATCCTAGGTTCGCTCGGAAAGTGCCACTTCACTCTAACGACCCGATACAGTTCGTGGGGTGTGCCCTACAGCAAGCTGCAGCAGACACGACGACTTGAACATAAATTAGCCTAAAGGGATAGTGGACTTGCACAGCAAGTTCTACGCTCTCACTTCCCACCTGGAACAGGTGTCAAGACAGAGTCAAGAAGACCGCAGGCGGGGGAAGGGCGCAGGTAGATGCCACGGCCGGACTCTCACCTAGGCGAGCCACCCCACACCCCTGGTCCACAACACGCAATTGATGAAGATTGTAACCAGCAACGACGTGAGAATGAAAGCTGGCACGGCCGAAGCCGCACCTGGGCCGTGCCGCCACACCCGGCTCGGATCCCACACAGTGGGAGTGACATAAAGGCCACATTTAGAAGGGGTCATTGCAGCCTGACTCTCAGACCGCCAGCCGGTCACTCCACAAAATCACACAAAACTGGGCATACTGCCAATTCCAAACTATCCCGCCAGTTGATAACCTTCCAGGCCACGAGTTTTAGCTCACCGTGATAGCGTCGAGCGCGTCAGATTGTTTATAGTGAGGAAAATACGCTGGGTCGTCGACCTCTCTCTCCCTTCCTACTCCCACTCCCCAGCTACTGCCCCAGCCGGTCAGTTGGTTGGAGCGGGGGATGGACACGGTGGCCGACATATTCTAGTGACGTTGTCTGCGCGCACCAGGTGCAAGAATTGCCCCTCCAAATACAAGCACAAGGATTTCACACAACGGGGTTTGAGCGACGTACGTCTCAGTGTAGGTCACGTTCAGAAGGAAGTATTTCAGCCAGCTCTCAACCCATCAGTCCGTCACTCCATATAAACGCACACACAACTGGACGGTCTATGTGGACGGTGTTGGATGGTCGGTCGGCAGCCTTCCAAGCCACGGCGCGTAAAGCGTCGTGATAGTCTCAGACTCGAGTCGCACATGCAGCATAGAAGCCGCATGGAGACGGAGTCCAGGCGCACACTTCGCATTTGCGCATGAGGTGGCATTTGGGTGCTTGTGGTGGGTAATGTTGATGTACGATGAGATGATGGCGAGGAAGAATGTCATGTTGTGGTGCAGCCGCGGTTGCCCACATCAGGTTTTCGTGGACGTGCATGTGGCCTAGTAGGTCCATGAGGCGTATGGATGTGCGAGCGCAATGTGGTCAGTGGAGGCGGATGCGGCGATTGTAGGTTGGTGCCCCAGGCACCGGTTCGCCAGCCTCTGTGTGATGAATTCGCAGGTGACCGACCAGGCAGATGCGTGAGGTGAATGTGCGGCGAGAGTTGGACATGAGTAGTCTGTGGTGTCAGTTACGGTGGTGGTGGTGGTGGTGGTGGTGGTGGTGGTTGTGGTGGGAGGGGGATTTTGGTTGAACCGGTGGCGGTAGGCACGCAGGGCGGAGGAGTGAGGGTTGGCCTAGGTATGGTGGGTTTGCTGGATGTGATAGGTGCGTCCAGATTGCGGTCAATTCCGCTCTCGTGGATACGCAAGTGATCGAATGGGCCCATGCGATGAATGCGTGTGTTAATGTAATGTGGACGGTAGTGGCGAATGCGGAAGGTGTAGGCTGGTGCTCCAGGCACCGGTTCGCCAGTCTCTGTGCGATGGATTCGGAAGTGACCGACCGGGCCGACGTTTGAGATGAAGCTGCGGTCGCAATGAGGACAGGTATAGACCGGATCCTCTTCACTGATGTCGACGGTGGTGGTGTTGGTGTTTGTTGGTGCGTCAAGATCATGTGCAATGCTAATGTGCGTGACAGACGCCACAGCGACAGATGTTGAGGCAGTGAGGGAGGAGGAGGAGGACTTTGGAATTGATGGCTCGGGAGGAGGTTCAGAGTTAGTTGACGGCATAGGAGGCCAGGAATAGGTGGACGGAGAGGCGACGGTTGGTGCACTTTGAGTTCTGCAGTTGCTAGGAAGTTGTCCCACGAGATCAGTTGGCATTAGGAATGTCCACTTACACCGTGGAATTATTTGGGCGGTTCGGCGTTGGCGTTGCGACGTGAGCACAGTTGAGATTTGCGTACTTCTCGTTTGGCCCTCGCGGCGGCGATGCGGCCTGCCTCGTAGATTACGCTGCCTGTCTTCATTGTCCTCCGCCAGGTCGGTCGGTCGATCGGTCTCGGGTGAGGTCTTTCCAGTTGTTCAGCTTGATTTGCAGACGATTCAGGGATGTCTCCAGAATTTCCTCGTATCGACGGATTGGGCTTCCTTGGCGGTGAGAATCTATGACAAAATCTTTAGAGAAGAGACCATAGGGTAGCCGCTCTTCGTCCATCCGCACTAGATGGTCGCTCCAGCGCAGTTGCAGTTTTCTCAGCATGACGTAGATGCTGAGAATTCCCGTCTGCCTCATACGCTTGTATAGGGGATTCGGTCTTGCCATCGCAGCTTCAGTATCCGCCGACGACAACTGAGGTTGAAGTGGTTGAGTCTCCGCGCCCGATTCTTGTGGAGTGTCCAGCTCACTGCTCCATACTGCAACTATGGCAGGATTACTGTCTCGCACATCTTCAGCTTCGTGTTGAGATGGGGACCGTTGCGATTCCAGACTGTTCTTTGAAGACGGCCGAAGGTTTGCTTTGCTTTGGAAATGTAGGGGGTAACTTCGTCGCCGATTTTGGTGCTGGGGGAGAGGGTGCTGCACAAACACATGAAGTTGTGCACTACTTGCAGTTGGGTTCCGTTCACGTCGATTCGCGGCGAATTGTGGGGTGGGGGGGGGGCTGTGTTGTGGGGCGATTGACGCATGACAACCGTCTTCTGCGTATTGATAATTAGACCGAAGTTTTCGCAGGCGGCGGCGAAGAGACCCATGCTCCTTTGCATGTCCACTTCCGAGGTTGTGTTGAGGGAAGAGTCGTCGGCGATACACGTGTGGATATACGCGACTGCTGTTGTTTGAAGAGGTGGCCGTCCGTCGTGTAGGCGATGAGGATCTGGCGGAGTTCGTCACGGTAGGCGTCCATTAGCATGACAGAGAACAGGGTGGGCGCGAAGACGCAGTCCTGCCTCACACCGTTGGTCACAGCAAATGCCTCTGAGACAGCTCCATTTTCCGTCATTCACGCCATCATGCCGTCGTGTTGCTGACATACCTTCTGAGTGAATCGCTCTCAACAGCCGAATTTCTGCATGATTTTCCACAGTCTGTCACGACTCACCGTATTGAAGACTTCCGTCAGATCCACGAAAGTAGAGTAGAGATGGCTCCGCATCTCCTGACACTTCTTCTGAATTTGGCGGGCAACAAAGGTCATGTCCGTTGTTCTAAAATGACGGCGAATGCCGTACAGGCTTTCCGACAGAAGACCTTGTTTTAGGTAATTATTTAGGCGGTTGAGTGATGATTTCCACGACGCTGTTTAGCACGGAGATGCGTCGGTGCTTGTCACAGATATGGCGATTACCTTCCCGCTTAGATAGTTGGACGACTTTCACGTCCTCGAAATCCTGCGGGACTTCTCCTTGACAACACATCTCCTGGAAGAGCGCAGTCAGATGATCCATGAGGTGGGGGCACCGTGATTGTATATCTCAGCAGGGATCGCGTCCAATCCGGTCGCTTTACCATTGAACAGCTGCTACACGGCTTGGATGTTTTCGCTGAGAGAGAGAGAGCGGTAGTTCGAGGTCCACGTTGGCCTCTACTTGCGGCAAACGGACGATGGCGGTGTTGGAGATGGTGGAGGGGTGGTTTACGACGTCCCTGAATTGTTCGGCCTATCGCTGCAGAATTCGTGTCTTCTCGGTGAGTAGCGTTCTTCCGTCGGCGCTGAGAAGAGGTGAAGTACATTTGGTGGGCGGACCGTAGACGGCTTGCATCGCGGAAAAGAAGTCCTTCCATCCTTTGTGATGTCGAGTACCCCTGACTCTCCTCAACCTTGCAAGTCGCCCTGGTTTCCTGCACAGCCGCTGTGCACAAGGCGGCGACTAAGATAGGATGTCGCTTTGTTGTCTTCGGTGGGGTGGCCGATGTAGGCTCTGCGGAGGTTGCTGATGGTGGTGTCTTTGTCGTCGAACCAGCCCTGGTGTTGGTGACTTGGCCGACCGAGGACGGCTAGGGCTGTCGACTGTAACGTATAGCCCAGGTGCTATTATCGGTTCTCCAGGGAGGCGTTCTTGTCAGTGGCAGCCGGTATCAGCGACTAGTAGGTTGTCTAGTCGTTGAGCTAGCTCGTTGCTGAAATGGATACGGTGAGCAGGCAATGACAACAATGTAATATTCAGCTTACCTGGGGGTCGCATACCTTATGGTCTCCTGCGAGGCTGTAGGCGAATCCGCATCTCCGAGGTAAAGAGGCAATGATCGGTCTACCCGTCGGCATCTCGGATCGCCTTTTTAACCAGTAGGTCCCGTGGGTCTTGCCTACGGACGAGGGCATAGTCCAGCAGGTGCCACTGGCGCGACCGAGGATGCAGCCATGTGGCCTTCTCTCGCATCGGGAGGCAGAGGAAGATGTTTGTCTGGGTGAGCCTCTGTTCGCCGCAGGTTTGTAGAAGGAGCAGGCCGCTGTCATTGGAGCTGTTGAGACCATGGGTACCCGACGCGGCCCGACGCGGGCGTTGAAGTCACCGAGGGAAATCAAATTATCCGCCTTCGACACAGTTGCCAGGAAGGCGTGCAGGTCATCGCAAAACTTGTCCTGTGCAGCATTAGGGCTGGTCATCCGGCGGAGTTTAGGCGCCGATGATGGTGGCGAATTTTATCCCCGGAAGGGAGGCAGAGGTTCATCAGGCGATTGTTGATGTCCTGACGTTGATACACGATGTCGTTCAGGAAGGAGAAGGCGACGCCCGCGTTCCGTCGTTCTGCCTTCGGGCGGCTACTCCAGAAGAAGTTGCAACCAACAAAGCAAACGGTGGAGAATGCAGCGCTGTGGGTCACTACATGGAAGGGCCGAGGGAGGCGCCCATGTAGAGAGCGCGAGAGAGAGGGAGAGACGTGAGCGCCACTGGAAGTTGCGGAGAGAGGATAGGCGGTAGAGAGAGGGAAGAGCACCGGACATTTTCATCGACGCGCCGTTACTCCATCACTATCCTAGGTCCATTCGGAAGGGGCCACATCACTTTAACGACTCTATACAGTTCGTGGGGCGTTATATGGCGTCACTGTTTAACATCCCGCCACCACCAATCTCATTCGTTTTTTCAGCGAGCATTCCAAGCCGCGCACTGACCTTCGGCCACGCACGATTGCTCGTCACCAACACATGCTTCTAGTATCGCAAAAAAAACATCTGCTAACTTGGTATTCAAACGACGGCCATACGGCCAGTCAGATTGAATGCATACTAGTCAGCAAGGAGGGACGATTGAACATACATAACTGCATGTGAAGGGCAGGCAACTGCTGGTCAGTCGAACAATAGAAATAACTAACGGTTACTTAAGCATTGTGAGTAGCGTAAAAATGACAAATCCATTTTAGGTAGAAAACTCACTAGAGAAAGTGTTTGCTCAAAAACATATTGATCACAGACTTTCGTTCTCGAAAATCATTTGCTTTTGTGATGAGGTCTTATTTTTAGACAACCCCTACGAAGTCGGCCAAGGTGGTCATATGTGGGACGAACTTTTGACGCGAGCACACTATGTCGACAACAACTTCTGAGAAATGTTAACGCCTGATGGTTTGGATGGCCATCAAATTTAGAGAGCGACCAGTCTGGCCTTCATCAGCGGAGACGATAAATAGCAAGGCGTTTATCGACATCATAAAGGGTGTCTTCGGTTACAACGGCATTCAGCGACGTCGAATGGACACCGTAATCTTGCAGGATAATGCCTCTCTTCACCACTCAAAGGAGGCATGATTCCAATTCAACTTACGACCATAATCTGATATCTTAGGCCACAGCCAGCTTCTCCGCCTGCGGCCTTCGAAACATCTTTATTCGCGCCAATCTCCTGGACCTAAATCCCATCGATTTTTTTGCATAATCAAAAGAAATTGCGATAAGGCAGGAAAACATCTCTCTATGGAGCAAAAGCTGGAATTTTTCTTAATAATTACATGGGCCAAACCACCTTAGGCGACTTGGTAGTATCCATGATCTCTCGTCTTGCGTCAACTCTAAAAGTACTGATACATTGTTACATATTTGTTATTATTTTTCATCATTTTGTGGTTTTATGACATTCCTCTTGCCTGGTGGCAGTTAAATTAGGCCTTGAATAGTTGACCAGCCATAGATTAATTTTCTTGATTTGGTGGTTTTTTGTTAAATAAATTATTTCTTAGCCAATAAATAATCATTTATGATTCAAAATATGTCAAAATATCTATGAATTACGCGAGCCTAGTAGTCCTCTGGTAGATTCTAGTTGAAATACTTGGGAAATCCTGCTTGGGCAGTTAACTTACTTTATCAGATTTGGTTTATTCCAGACGTTGCAGTAGGTTGGACGGGTAATTTGACTCAAATGTGATTAAACTCGCGTCGTCCGGCGGGGCCTTGTAGCTCACGTGGTTAGAGCGTTGGCTGTACTAAAGCCTTCCCCTTACCGCGTGGGTTTGAATCCCACCGAGGAGCCGAGTTTTTCACAGTTGGGTCAGTATGAATTATTCAAAGTCTGTTAAAATATGTGTGTATAATTTATGAATCAAAATGTGCCTTATTTTGAAGCCCAGTCATATCTTTAACGCAGTCTAACTTTCGTGGATGCGGGGTGGACTTTTCGCGCGCCACGGCGACTTAAGTCCACAGTTCATGACCCTTTACGAGATAGGTCACGAACTGTATAAGTTGGATGACGGGTTATGTGACTGAGTGTGTGGCTTTTAATTGAGAGGCTTGATATGCGTCTAGTCTACACTTAAATGAGTCCATAGAGGAGGAGAATATATCAGTAGGCAGCGCAATCCACGCTGAACCCCCCCCCCTGTTACTGAAAAAAAGAACTTTCGTCCATTGATCCGTGCTTTATCTGCGGGCAAATTGGGCGTGTTAGCTTGATTGAAGAAATCACCGGGATCTAAGCAACAGTGAAGGCCGTTTATAATACGGAATGTAAGTATAAGGTCAGTGCGCAATTGCCTGTGGGAAAGGGAAAACAGGTTGAGAGTTGGCAGTCTGGTTTCATAGGGCAGTGTTTTCAGATCTTTTGTCACTTTTGTCGCCCGTCTCTGGACTGTATAGTCCTTGACAGTCTAAGGTCTCCATGCCTGTATGGCGTATGCTAGACGAGACCGCACGAAAGTGTCAAATATTTTGAAAAAGTGTCAAATCCCATGAAGTCTCGCCTAATAAGTTGCAATGTAGCCGTAGCCGACTTAGCTGCCATCGCGCAGCGCAGTGTTGGATTGGGTGAAGATGTAAACCACATACCCAAGTCCTTCTGACTGTCAACTTGTTGCAGTGGTGTACCGTGAAGAAATTAAGTCCTGGGGCCGGAGACTCTGCAGTCGCCGAGTTGTGGAAGGTTGTACTTGCTTACACTGAAGGGCATGAGACAGAGCTTTGACAAGTTCTGGAGTCTACTCAAGTTTGTTTTTAGGTGGTCTCCGTCTGCCGCATTGCGAATAACTTTCCACAATTTTATGTCGTCGGCAAATAGGATGACATCACAGTCTATGTACCTGATGCAGTCATTTATGAAAAAGAGGACTAACGTGGGGCCAAAGACTGAGCCCTGTGGGACGTCACTCATCACGCTTACCCCTGAGGACTGTTGGTGTCTGACTTAAACTCTTTGGAACCGTCCAGTCAAAAAGATCTGGATCGATACAGGAAGGCGTTCACGAATTCCTGCTTTGCGCAGTTTGCGCAAGGGGCCTTGATGAGGAGCGCTGTCAAAGTGGACTTAGATGGCCTGCTCCGCATTGCCTTCGTCGCGTGCTTTGGTCCAGCGTTTGAGTGAAGAGAGGAGATTTGTGAGACCTTACCTATCACTTCGAAAGCCGGAGAGGAGATGATGCTGCCCAGGGAACTGTATCAACGCTTTCTTGATGATTTTCTCCATGATTTTGCAACAGATAAAGGTGAGAGTCACTGGCCTGTGGTGATTTACAGACGCACGGCTTCCACTCTTAAAGAGCGGAGTGATGGTAGCGAAGTTCCAA